TCTCATTTTTATTGTCCAGCCTGCTGAGTTTTACTTCCAGGCACAGCTTGTAAATTCTGTTATTTCATATTTAGCAAAGGCTTAAGGTTTCTGCCGTGGAGAAGCAAGGTGGCCAAATGTGCTATAAATGTAAAATAGACACTAGATTTGGAAGACCTAAGTGTGTGAGGGTGTTTTAAATGTACTTATCTGTCCTTTTATTGTTCTTACCAACTCTGACTCAGGGTCACAGAGGAGCTGTTCTGCTCAGGTGGGCCACACTGGGAGCTCTCGTGTCTCCTTTGTCCTCTTCCTGCCTGTCTGTCTGCTCCCAGATTCCCAGCCCCCTTGGACCTGGTCCAGTCTTTCCATTGTAAAACAGAGGACCCGAGAAGAGAAAGGACTTGCCCAAGGTTCCAAGAACCCTAGACCAGAACCCAGGTGTGCTCATTCACTGCTCCTCAGATGACACAGGGCTAGGCACGGGGATATGAAAATAAATAGGACATAGGGCCTCTCCCGAGGCACCTTACAGTATCAAGACAGTGTGGGGCAGGGGTGGGGAAGGCATGGGGATGGTCAGAGACTCTGGCAGCAGCAGCCTCATAATAATGGCTAGATTTGTTGACTGTGCACCAGCCCCTGCTGCGCCCTCGTCTGCTTGATGCCATTTAATCCTCACAACACCCTACTGGGACGAGTACTGTTACCTTCTCACTATACAGACCAAGAAACCCAGTCCAGTGATTTTCACCTCTTTATTTAAGCCACAGAATCCTTTCTTCAAGGGAAATCTATATGGGGGCCCCAAATAAAAGCAGGGTCCTGAAGGCACTTTCTCAGAACCTGATATCTCCTCTTGGCACAGTTAAAAACCACCTGGGTCATCTAATTCTTTCATTTTTCAGATGAACAAATGGTGGCCCAGAGGAGGGAAGGAATTGAGCAAGGGTCCCCCACCAAATCACTGCCGCAATTAGCACTCCAGCCCTGGTCCTGTGAATCTCAGGCCTGTGCTCCATCCCTGCTACCTCTTTTATTAGGAAACAGAGGCCTTTTATTAGCAGTTATAAGATGCAATCTCTTCCAAGCTGTATTTTAAGACCTAGCTTGCCGTGGGCTCTGTGAACATGCTGGGTTCACCTTCCTCCCACCCTGTCTCTTTCCTACCTCCAGTTCCTCCACTTTCCCAACCACAGTAGGAGATCCTGCTTGGTAGCAACCGCCCCTGGGAGCCAAGTGGATGAGTGTGGCTTGAAGCTGACAGTTTCATAGTTTATCTTAGGAGTTCTCAGTTCCTCTCAGCTTATTTAATGTAATGCCTCATCACTCCGTAATATTCATAGGACTCTTGACATTAGAAAGGGCTTTTAAATCCTATGAAATAGGATTTTTGAATTCAAAGCACCTTGGAGTGTGTCAGTGGTACATTAACTTCCCAGGGAGTGGGAAGAGGAGACTTATTCAGGAAATGTAATGACTATATCCCTCGGGTGGCATCTCTGGAGGAGGCCTGGCACCCCGCCCCATAACCCTCCTTCAGCTAGCCTCATAGTTGCCACCTCCTTCTCTCTTCTGGCTTCTTCCCCAGCCCCTTTTCCCCAAGTTGTCTTTGATAATGGATTCTTTTCTCCTCTGCTCCCTTACCCTGGCTTCTTCATTCTCCAGGGTCTGTCCACGAGTCACTTTATCTAAGGGTTTTTATTTACAAATCATCTAGAAAATGAGTCAGTTAGAAAAGGGAACAAGCATGGGAAGCTCTCAGGGTTCCAAATCTATCCTACTTTCTCCAGAAGTGTGTCCCAGCTGGGCCTGTCCCTGTGTGTCTTTTTGTGTGGCTCTGGTGTGGCCCACAGTTAAGGCTAAGGCTGCATTTGCCAAACATTGTTTCATGAGATTCCAGCTCTGGGTGCAGTTTCTCAGAGGTACAATTTTATGATCAAAAGGACTGGGAAATTCTGCTTGCAACCTGTTCCTCCTGGAGACTCTACTGCAAAGCAGCTTGCCAACATTTTTTTTTGGAAGTTCTACAGTCCAGAATCATAAGAAACTTTGTATAACTCAGTACCTGCCTGAGCACCAAAAAATGTGTGTTTTGTGGCCCATCTGAGAAACCCTAGTTTGGAGGCAATCTTGAACATCTCTATGAGTTGGTTCTGGAAGCCTCTAAGCCCTTCATCTCTTCACCTGTGTACCTGTTGGCCCCAGGATGGAGATCATGGATCCTCTCCTTCTCTTGGCTTCACTTAGGGAAGGCCAGATTAGGTTGTTCTCTGAGAGCCCTCAGGAAGGTTGTTGTTTTTCTTTTTCATCTATACCAGAGCATTGTCAGCTGGTTGTGCTTTCTTTGGATGTAATAGAAATGAATCGAAGGGGACCCATTTATGGTCTGAACATTGCATTCTTGGGGTCTGGTCAAAGGAAGACGTCAGGCCAAGCTGAGCCATTCTTAGAGAAAAAGATGGCACTGGGGTTTCTGTATTTGGGAAACAAGTCCTTCTTATCAAGCCAGCTGTCATATGCTTGGATTTCTCCTACAAATATGCCCACCCATGCACAGACTTAGACTAATAAAGTGTGCTCTCTGCTTTCTGAAATGGAGACTTTTTATGTTAGCTTAGTGAACTCTGGTTTTAGTTTATTTTAGATTACTTTGTTTTTAATGACAACCAACCACAATTTTTTTATTGATTGCTTGGTTGTCTTTTTCTGGTTTTCATTTTACTCTAGAAAATTCTATCAGTCATTTTACAGATGAGCCATGGATTTTGTTGGTTGGTCAGTCGATTAGTCGGTTGGTTAGTTGGTTGATTTGCATGGAGATCTAAAAAACATAAATTGCCATGAAGAAGGTGATATTGGTTATATAAGTTTTCTAGGGCTGCTGTAAAAGAACTGCACATTGGGTGGCTTCAACAACAGAAACTTATTGTCTCACAGTTCTTCCAGGAGGCTGGAAGTCTGGGATTAAGATGTCGGCAGAGCTGGTTCTTTCTGAGAATCATGAGGAGGATCTGCTCAAGGCCTCTCTCCTAGCTTCTGGTAGTTTGCTGACAATCCTTTGCATCCCTTGGCTTTCAGAAACATCACCCTAATCTCTCCCTTCATCATCACATGGCATCTTCTTGTATACAGGCCTGTGTCCAAATTTCATCCCCCACACCCCTTTTTTAAAGTTTATTTTATTTTAAAGATATAGGGTATAATTCAGGATTAATTACACAAGTGGTACAAGTAAAGTTTGGGTCTACCTTTGGTCCCCATCATTAGTAATACAAAAAAAAAAAAGCAACAGATACTGATCAGGATGCGGAGAAAAGGGAACAATTCTACACTGTTGGTGGGAATGCAAACTGGTTCAACCTCTATGGAAAACAGTGTGGTGATTCCTAAAAGAACTAGAAATTGACCTTCCATATGATCCAGCAATCTCCCTTCTGGGAATATGACCTCCCCCCTTCTTTTAAGTTGGGGTCTCACTCTGTCATGCTGGCTGGAGTGCAGTGGCATGATCACCGGTTACTGCAGCCTCAACCTGGGCTCAGGTAATCCTTCCACCTCAGCCTCCCAAGAAGCTGGGACTACAGGCATACGCCACCATGCCTAGATATTTTTAAAATTTTTTGTAGAGACAAGATCTGACTGTGTTGCCCAGGCTGGTCTTGAACTCCTGGGCTCAAGTAATCCTCCCACCTCAACCTCCTAAAGTGCTGGGATTACAGGCATGAGCCATCATGCCTGGCCAAATTTCCCCTTTTTATAAGGATTCCAGTCATATTGAACTAGGTGCCCACCTTACTGTAGTATGACCTCATCTAAACTTAACTAGTTACATCTACTGTGACTCTATTTCCAGGTAAGGTTACATTCCTACTTGTGGTACCAGATTACTGAGGTACTGGGGGTTAGAACTTCAGTGTATGAATTTTTAGGAGACATAACATAACCCATCACACTGACTCTATACACTTTACTACACTCGGTCAAAAGGGAAGACAGGAGAATCAAGGCCCCGCTGTCCCTCCTGGGCCAGGCAAAAGGTAGTATGGGGTAGTAGAGAGCATCTGTGAGCTGACGCCAGGGTCCTGAGAGGAACCCTAGGCCATCCCTCAGTTTCTTCACTGACAGCATGGTTTTAATTAAAAGATATAACTTACATGGTGTGTTGCAAGTCTCAAATGAGTTAACAAGTCTAAAAATGTCATGGTTATGGGAAGTAGCAGAGTCAAGGTCCAAACACAGGTGCTTGGACCAGAAAATGAACAGTAGACTTTTCTAGCAAGAGAGGGCTTCCTGGGAAGTGGCAGACATGGACCCTGGTCCTCTTGGGTTCCTCTTGGTCCCCCTGGGCAAACCACTTCTTCCCTCTGAGCCAACTCTCTCACAAATGAAATGAAGGGCCCAGACTAAGCAGTCTCCTGGCCATGACATTGGGCGAGTCTATGAAAAGGTGCCATGATACAATGGCCAGAGCAATGCAGGCTTGAACAGCCAACAGACCTGAGTTCAAATGTGGATCTGCCACTTCCTAGTAGTAGGATTTGGGTAAGTCACTTGACCCATCTAAACTCAATGTCCTCATCTGTAAAATGGGAATAATAGTAAATACCTACCTCATAGGTTAAATTCGTTTTGGCAGCGTTTCCAGCATTCATGATTCCCACTGGAGTCTGGGGTGAAGGGTGGAGGGTTACACAGAAAAATATTTGAACTACTTGAAGAATAAAATTGTTTTCAGGTACGCATAAGCCATTTATAATCATCCATTTACTTTAAATTAATGTCCATGGCAATTACAGCCAATTACATTTCATTAAATACATGCCCTCAGGACTTTTACCTTGCACTTGCTTTAGAGAATTAGTCAAACTTAGTGCAGTATTTTACTATGGTAATGATCATCCTGGTGATTCATAAAATATTCCCAGCCACCCTGTGAATGATGAGCATCCATTTGCTCTGAGAGAGCAAGTCTGAGAAGGATCTTTCAAAGATTTTTCTCTTTCTGGTAGGTCATAGAGCAGCACAGGAACTCAGAAGAGAAAGACCAGTTCTTCCACAATGTCATACAGACGAGAACTAGAGAAATACCGTGATTTGGATGAAGATGAAATCCTTGGAGCCCTAACAGAAGAAGAGCTCAGGACCCTGGAAAATGAGCTGGATGAGCTGGACCCTGATGTGAGTAGGTGCTAAAGGGGAGCATGTTTTCTTAGGTGCAGGGAGTGCAACCATCACCACCTGGGGAGGGACAGGTGTACACTTCCTCAGGCTACCATTTCTGTTTTCCTTCTATGACAATGACATTAGAATAACTTTGTCTTGGCCAGGCTCGGTGGCTCAGCCTGTAATCCCAGCATTTTGGGAGGCTGAGGTGAGTGGATTGCCTGGGCCCGCGGGTTCGAGACCCACCCGGGCAACTTGGCGAGACCTCATCTCTATAATAAATCAAAAATTAGCCGGGC